TGTAGGGAACTACGTTCTCAATACCTCACTAGCGCAGCGAGTGTAGAAAGCCTAGGGATTTTGTAGGTCGCGAGTTGTCTACAAGCAGCGTCAGAGAAAAATAAGAAGTTAGATAGATTATGGCGCTCATCCTGTACGGTCATATTCATTCGAGCTCGAGTAATAAAATTCATCATTATTAGTTACAAGAAAGATGTCGATCATTACACCTCATATCACATCACACGATAAGCATGGGCTTGTCTTGAGAATTTGACTCATCAATCGAGTCATTTATTCCCACATCGGCCGTTGCATATCGCCATCTGCCGGATTAGTTTACGGAGGAGACATTAAAGACTCACTTTTTCTCGGGTAAGAGTAGAAAGTTGCATACCCCTGTGGAGTACATTATGCACAATATTTAATGAGAAAAGTAAGTTTTTAATTCTTCTCCTCTTTATAATATATGAACGATAAATTAAGTGACCTTATAAATTGCAGAATTTTATTTTGTACTATGTATAATAATATTTTCTTTTAAGAAAACATACCTTATGAATCTGCTATATTCATGTGTCATCTATTTTTAGTATATAAGACTATTATCACTTTCTAGTAAAGCGAAAGAAATTTTTAATTAATAGGGTATTTTTTATTTATTCATAAAAATAAACAATTCCATTTTATAATCTAATCTTAAAGGATAGTTTATAGCTCTGTAGCGTTCGGAATTAATTCTTGGCACTCGGATTGCTCGAAGATCACGTGATCCAGCTCGTCATCTGCTAACTCGCATCTCAGATTTACATTGCTGAACGCACCTAACGTATCTAATAAGATTACTAGAATGCGTAGATTAAAGCGGAAAGCATAACACATAAGAAATCCAACCAATCAGAGTTCTTTATTTCATGGAAAACAAGGAAACAAAGGACTTTGATTCTGAGAGGTATATTTTCTTATGCATTACGTATTAAGCTGGTTCTACATTAGTTGCAAGCCGATCGCAAGTTTGTTGCGACAGCCAATCTGAAGCTTGCATTTTGAAATCAACGCTTCATATTGGCTGTCGCAACAAACTTGCAATCGGCTTGCAACTAATGTAAAACCGGCTTTATGTATTATGCAAGAGTCTGTGCTTCCCGCTTTACGCTTACGTAGGTTATGCCTCATGTGACGGCATCTTTATTATATCGAAAAATCAGTTTACTCCCGATGTGTTTTAAGCCTTGTGTCTATAATGTTAGAAATCGATTCGAGACCTCAGAAGAAAGAATTGACCAATCGCAATGTCATGTTAGGGGTTCCGTACAATAAAAGGAACAGGGAACAGAATAAGAATTTCAATCCATCAGAAATCATGTATTGTGGAATATTCAGTTTCTGATAGGTTGAAATTCTTATTCTCTGTTTTCTGTTCTCTATTCCTTTTATTGTACGAAGCTCCTTACTGTTATAGAAATTTTGTCTGCGGCAGTCCTTAGGACTACCGCACATAAAATTCCATAGCAGTGACCTTAAGACGTGACATAAGCCGATGAGCCAATCAGGATATTGGATCTTACGGCTTACCATTTACTTATTGCAGAACAGGTCTACGATGTTTATCAGGCCCGTTTTACAATTAATCGTATGTCGATGTCGGCTGTCGCTAGCTGTGTATCGTATGTTGTATATTGCACATGAATACGAATGACTTGCTATTCTATTGTACAATTGAGTCGTTGAGCGAAGACAGAAGAACAAATGTAAAGAATAGATATTGAAACGTTGAATACATATTTAAATTTATTATTAA